GAAAACCAGATCTTCGAAGGGCTATGCGGAAGCCGCATGGTCGTATTCGTAATCAGCATGGTCGATAACCTATAACCCACTAGATTCCGAGCAAAAAGCGTTTAATCACTTCGTGGGGTTCCCTCGTAAGTATATCGAGCACTATGAATTAAAATTCGGATCAGCTAAGCTATATATATGTTCATCCGATGAGATATGACCAGGTGTTCAAGATACTTCGCTTTCAAATGACATATTTTACCTCAAAATGAGAAAAAATCTTTAGTTTCAATTGTTTATTAGTTCTGCAAATCTAGATTTAAGCCTCTAGTGATAAGTGTTCATAAATAGAGTGCATAGAGGAAATATCTTTCATTAAATTTATTGTGAAAGTCAAACTAAAAAATATATTTTATTTAAATATATTCTGATTGCTAATCGGTATTTCCGGTTATAATATTTTTCTTTTCTTTTATATCGTCGTCGTCGTCGTCATGTAATTACGGCTACAATTTTTCGCCTCATTTAAATATATTCATTCGATCATAATAACTGTTCACATTTACATTTTCTTGTTTTTTTGTTCTCTCTTAACAACCCTACCATAATTTGAACATGTTTATTCGAATTCATTATGGTGAAAAGAAAACACTTATTGTTAATTATAATTCAAAGGTAAATTAACCATTAAAACTTCAGTCAACAATTTTTCTAAATAACTGACTATCTATAAATTTTCATTTTTTCTTTAATAAGTTGAAACATATATTCGATTATATCCGTGACAAATGTGACTTAGTCGACGTTGTTAAATTTGATTTATGTAATTCTATCACAAGTGAACCAAAACGATTAATGGAACAGCCAAGTTCGAATTTAAATGCACAAACATTATTTACACAACGCGAACAATTGATACTCATGAAAATTGATGGTAAAATAAGAAATTTCATGTGTTTTGAAAAAAGTTATCGAGTTTTTTATCTTCTATTTTAGAGCGTGATCATTATATCCCATTGTTAAACGATCCCGATTACATAACTCCTGATTATTTGAATAAATTACGAAAAGCTACAAAAATGATCACTTTTACCAGTTCAAGTTTGAAAACTAGAAAACTAATAGGGAAAGTATTGACTCCATCACCCTTACAAACGACAGATCAACAAGATATTCGACCACGTCGACGTAGTTTGAAAGCAGTGACAATAGTCACTCGATTTCACAATTATAATAAGGATAATAAGAATAATTCAATAGTGACAAAACAACAAAGAAAAACATGAATTGAGTATGTATGATCGTCTGCTCTATTTTATATTGTATTCTACATTGAAAAATAAAGACATACTGATAATTACTCATTAATTTTGACAAGGTTTTTAACCGATAACTACTATCAGAATTTTTAAAGAAAGCGCGTGGAAGAAAACTTATAAATTTTGAACGGAAAGTCATAGCAACCTGCGGTTTTCAGGGTTCAATAGTCGACAGTCGGGGGCACATTCCAACGTGGAAAAGTGATCTTCCTAGGTATCACATTTAGAACCGTACATTTTAAAGAAAATAAACTCTTTCATGTTGATTAGCATAATCGAAAACCTATATTCGGAGTACTTTTTTGCTTTTCAGCGAAAAATGTACTACTTGAAATTTCTTCCTTAAAAGGCCTCGGGTCTTTCAAGGAAGCGAACTCTAGAAATTCCTTAGATACCAATGTGAAGAGGGCATGTCGGGGTGCAAACCCTGCGAAATAAATTCCCTCTAAAAAGTTCGCTAATTTGTCCTTAATTTCGTAGGCTAAATCTGGTCTGAAAAAGTACCTAGGAAGATCACTTTTCCACGTTGGCATGTGCCCCCGACTGTCGTCTATTGAACCCTGAAAACCGCAGGTTGCCATGACTTTCCGTTCAAAAGTTATAAGCTTTTCTTCCACGCGCTTTCTTTAAAAATTCCGGTAGTAGTACCAGTAGCGGTACTGGTGCATACCTAATATTAATATAAATATCGTATAGTTTCATAAAATAATTTTAAGATTCATCATAAATTCTTCTTTAAATATTCATTCATAAATTCTAAATAGTCTTTAGCAATCCTGACACATTCATTTGTAGCGGGCATACATATCGAATGTTTTTCAATATCAATGTAATCAACATTTTGAATTTCATATACAGTACGTATGTCAAATAAACCTTCTTGTTCATCTGAAAATTGGCTAAAGCTAGAAATATCAGCTAGAATTGTACTGCTATGTATTTTCATATCAATATCTATATCAAATATAAGTGGTTGATAATTATCACGTCCAATTATACCGACTCCAGACTACATATCCGCTCCTACTTTATTTCTACCTGTTGAGACAAATCCAGTTTCTCATATAAGACCATCAATACCATCTTTTAATCGTTGTATTCCATCATTTGATTATCTAATACCTCTATGCAGTTTTAACCTTGACGTTATTTGATATTCTTTTAATAATTCGTATTTTGAAGAAAGACATGAACAAAGACGAACAATAAAAAATCGAAATGTATATAATGCTTCAACATCTTCAGTTCTCAGTACTTTACCGATGTCCACTTTCTTATCGGAAGTCGCAACGCGAATCTCTTTAAAATTCGCAGCTGGATCGTGTAACGTGTTCGCTGTAAGACTCACGAACTAAGACGCGACTGTTAGCCATCGATTTTTTGGCGGTCACACAAAAATCAATGACTCTCAAGCATTTTACTATAGTTACTATTTATTTGCGTTTTCCGTCTAATAGCAGTAAATGAGTCAGGCTACTTTTACCGCGATCACAAACGAATGGTGTACGCGCGAGGCGCCTACACAAGACTTTATTAGTCATGTCATAAGCTATTGTTAAGGCGTGGTAACATTTTGCACGGTAGACGCACCGCGATGCTGTATCATGTTACGATTGTAAGAGGAAAATGCGTTCACGACGTGACAATTTTTTCGTACAGCGATCGCACTCGGATCGCGAAGTCGCACCGCGATCGTAAAAGGTTGCTATTGTCGCTTCTCGATTACGAATTACAAATGTTCGAAAAGTAAGACTTCTTCACGACCGTGCCACGACAACAGCGACTTCTTACCGATCAGGGCAAGACTACACGATCCGGGTGCGATTACTATAAGAAAAAAGTATCACGTCGCAATCCCGAATTACAACTTTTTCCAAAAATACGAGTTCATCGCGATCGCGCCGCAATAAACGCGACTTCTCAGCGATCGTTGTACAAATTGCGCTATTTTAACGCGTTTGCGACGTCAATGAAGCAAGAAAGTGGACTTGGATAGCATTCTCATCTATATAAATGTTTCGCCCAGTTTGCAGAGAATGCTTTGAAGTATTTGTTCTGATGCTTTTCGGTTTACCGACATTATTTGGCTATAAGAAAAAAATGAATTACAAAAAAAATGATGTTAAATGCTTGAGCACGGGGCTACTATTAAAAAGTTCCCTCGCCGTTCCTCTTTCATCATAAAAGTTTGGTTATTACCTAGATCAATAGAGAAATATGTGGAGAACATTTCCTATGGGAAAGGAAGAAAAGACTTTTGCTCTTTCTTGCCTGTTAATAATTATTTAGTGCCAATTAACGTTAATTTAGTCTACTGTACTGGCTTAAAGTCCCATCTGTACAAAATGGCATAATGGAAAAGTACCTTATCACGGGCTGCAAGAAAGACTATCTTAAAATTTTTAGAACTCATTTTTCTCTGCTCAGTAAGTCTAGTAAGCCAGAAATTTAACAATATTTTTTTCTAGATAACTCATTTTTTTCTGATCCAATTAATGTGGGTAAGCCGAAAAACTTCAGAGCATATACTTCGAAGTGTCCTCTACAACCTTGGAAAATTTAATTAAAATTTATGAAATTTTAAAATTTTAAAAACTGTATGTTTTGATTAAAAGTCGAGTTTAAGGAATTTCGAACCAGCAAAGTCTTATCTCAGAAAAAATGGCATTTTGAACAACTTTTCCAGATATACTTTCGCTCCAAACTGCTTCCTTCTTCCTAAACTCAACTTTTTAATTAAAACATACAACAGAAACTGATGGAAACACAACTTAAACTGATAATGATCGTCGAGAATGGCGTCTTTTATATAAACGTAATTCACCATTAACTCGCTCATCTACTTTTGCAAAGTGTTCTTCATCAATTGTTCGACCAACGGGGTCAGAATGACCAGCGATGTGTACAGCTATCTTTTTACATTTAACTTGTTTGTATGCTTTGATAAATTCTGGATAATCATTTTGATCATACTCTTTTAGATATGAGAATAACTGTTCAACTTTTGAATTATCTGTAAACAAAAGCATGATATCTTGTGTATTTTGAATCTTATTTTTGGCATGTTTCAGTGCCATTGTAGCTGCTAGAACTTCACATTCTGCACAATTACGTACATCGTAATATTTCTTTGTATTAATTCGATTTTCATACGAATAACCGGCAACACCAAACTTTAATCGAGCATCATAACTACCATCTGAATAATACTTATGAATTGTTTGATATTCTACCACTTGTGGCTGTAAACGTTCATTCACCTCTGTTATGATCGGTACTTGTATTACATTTTCAGATGAGCCATCGAGCAGTTGTTCGTCATCGTCTGAACCGTTACGCACACGATAACAACAACGATAAATACGATAAAGTATAATCACTAAAGTAATACTAAAAACAACAGCTAAAATTATCCAGAATTTTAAATCAAACAACATCATTTCCGGTAGAAGTTACCAAATGCTTATGTTGAAAAATTTCTTCTCATTCAATCTGTTTTTTTTCCTTTCTTTCTTCATTTTATTATTGTCATACAAAACTATTATGATGTTTTTTATTGGCATATTTTAATGATTTTTTTCTGATTTTAGCTTCTTCTCATTTCGCTCAGAATCAAAAAAGTAAAAGCAAGTTTTTATAGAAATTCTTTTTCTATATCGTTATCTTCGTAGAATTTTTTAATTTAATTTTCAGTACTATTTATGCCATCTTCTACATACTATAATAATATGTGGGAAAGGAGAAAAGGAGAAAAGAACAAAAATACGACTACTTTTTTGATGCGAATGCATGCACACGCCTACGTAGAGCAGGAATGTCTATTACACATTTATTTCTTCATCGTATAATACAAGAGACATATATATTTGTTTCACAGCAGTTTGTAACTGCGAAAACGTAGGTTTCACCATTTGAGTTTCCCTATAAAAGAAAAGCGATTGCAAAACAATCAACATCGGTAAAGATTTCATTCATTTTTGACAGCATCCTCCCACCTCTCAGAATAAAAGTTATGAAAAGTGATTAGGGGCGGACAAAAAAGTATAAAGACTTATATCACAAAAACGAAGCAATGTACCCCAAAAAGAATGGTAAACGAAAAAGATTTTGTATAGTAACAGCAGAATTGTGAACGGTTGAGAATTTTAAAATTTTTTGGTCCAATCCTGTCCGGTTTAAATGCTTTCCAAACCGGTAAAAACCGGTCGGCTCATTAATTTTTTCAACCGGCGGAAATTAGTGATCTTACAACAAACATTCGTTTTTTCAATTTGCACGAATTTTTGAGATTTCGGAGGAAGATCATATCATCGGAACAGAAAAAGTAAAGTTGGTTTAGAGCTGCTGAAAAGTGCTTTTTCGTATTCAGCATACTCGATAACCCAGAAGATTTTCTATTTTTGGCATGGAACAAAAACTAACAAGTGCTGAAGAACATACTTTTTTTGAGACACAATACAGGACCCCTCTGAAACTTTCAAAAATTCAGGACAGATGAGAATATCCATGACTTTTAAGGTGACAAACCCTTTAATGAAAATGTTAACTGACTTCAACGACATTTATTTTGATTAAAAAGATTGTTTATCATATACTGGTTAAAATAACCATTTTTAGGCATATTTTTTACATTTTGCCTATGACACACACCTTTTTTTATGCTTTTGACTTGTTCATTCGACAGAGAATAGAAAATTTGTATACATGGTAAAGTTTTTGCCTTTGTTCTAGGTTGACATTGCATGCAGTGTTAAAAATAAGAATTTTAATGTTAGTGTTTTGAGAATTTCAGTCCCTCGCTGCTTCAGAGTTTTTGATTCTATTATTTAACTTGAATTTAAATTTATATAAATGATTTTAATATCAAATATTTTTTACTTTTGCTTTCCATGCTGACTCAAACAGTAGCTATTGTTCTTTCTTTCTTCTTTCTTTGTTTGTTTTTCCTTTGTCTGTCTCTTTTACAAAGATGGTATGTTGAGCGATATAATGCAATCATTGACTGTGATTTTGTTCAGTATATTATTCTTTTTCTTCTTTCAAACAAATAAAAAGTTTATACTAACTATTGACTATCCGTGTAGAGTAAACAAGAAAGATAGATGCCTATATGAAAAAAAGTTTCTTATTAATGAGAGCAAAAATTTGAAAAACTCTGTCGCATCGATAGAGTGAACTCAGTCTAAATACACAGAATAATGAATTAGAAATAAAAATATTGTTATGTGAACTATAGTTAGATATTCATATTTGTTATATTATTCAGAGGAATCATTAATTCTTGTCCAAAAGAAAAGTAAAAGACAATGGGAGATCACTAACAGCAACCTGAAGATATATAATGATATATCTGTGACAATGACTGTGCTTATGAAAGGATTTATAATACTGATATAATAACCATAAGAATCATGGGCGCCGAAATATCGGGTGCTGAGTGTGCTCGAGCACTCCCAACTTTTGAAAATTTAGCAGAAAAACCGTCTTTTTTCAGCAGAATCTCACCAAAAAATCATTTGAGCGTCTCGAAAAATTCCATACAATGGTATGAGCACTCCCAACCCAAAATTCATTCCGCCGCCCCTAATAAGAAATACATTTGGTTGTTTTTTCTACGCACAATCTTTTTTCCATTGAAATAGAACGATTAAATCGCTTCTGTGGAGGGCTGTCAGAATATCAGTACGCAGTGTATTCTCTGGGCTTGCTGGGTTTGCTGGGTTTTCTGGGCTTGGTGTATTCTCATTGAGAATACACGAGAATCGC